TGAAATTGAGACTGGTTTTAGGTTTCCAGTCCTCTGGTTGCCAAGGTTAGAGACATCGTGTACCAAATGGGAAAATATGTGGGTGTGGAAAAGCAGCAGAGAGTTTCATCTGAAGAAAAGGGGAATTCCTTTAGAATCTAGAAAAGCCCAGTTGCGCAGTTCTGTCTGGCCATAGAAGCTGGACGGTTTGAACTAGGGGCGGGGTTAAGTGATGGGATGTTGGTCAATCAGGATTGGGTATTTGATAAGCAGGGAGGAATCAGTGCCTCTCTCAGGAGTGAGGAGAAAGTGACCCTTCAGGAGAGGTAAGTGGACTGCTGCATGGAGTCCCCAAAGGGGGTTGTCTGCTGATAGTCAAGCTCTCTTAAGAGCTTAAAAGACTTTGGTCTGGAATGTGGCTGCGTTGGTAGAGTGCTTGCCTAGCATGCGTGAAACCCTGGGTTCAGTCACCATGCTTAAAGCTCAAATACACAGCTGATAGAAGAAACTAGGAAAAATTATAGTGGGTCAAAAAGAAAGCAGTTGCCAGGCGGTGGTGGCGCACGCCTTTAATCCCAGCACTCGGGAGGCAGAGGCAGGCGGATTTCTGTGAGTTTGAGGCCGGGCTGGACTGACAGCCTCCAAAACAATACAGAGAAACCCTGTATCGTAAAACCAAACAAACAAACAAACAAAACAAAAAAAAAAAACAAAGAAAGAAAGCAGTTTAAAAACTATAGTGCTAATCACTTAAAGTTTACCAGATACTATCACATCACACAGATAACATGTAGGAATGATGCAAAGAGAAGCTACACAAGACCTTAATGGAACAAAACATGAATTATTAAAAAGACATTACTAAAGACCCAGATAAGTGGAAAGCCATACTTTATTCATGAGTAGGAAGATTTGGTCTAATATAAATATTAGCTCCTGGGGCTGGAGAGATGGCTCAGAGGTTCAGAGCACTGACTGCCCTTCCAGAGGACCTGGGTCCTGTTCCTGGAACCTGCATGGTGGCTCACAATCAACTGTCACTCCAGTCCCAGGAGACCTGAAGGATGTGACCCCTCTTCTGGCTTCCACAGGCACCAAGCATGCATGTGGGTGTGCAAACATACATGCAGGCAAAACACCCATACACGTGAAAAAAATAGCTCCCCCAAAACATTGATGAATAGGTTAAGAAAAAGAATTATCTTGTCAGGCAGCCGTTTAGAAACATTCAAAGAGCAATTATGAAGGAGCAATTATGACAGAGCAAATATTGCTCTGTCTGGTGAGGTGTTAGAGGCAGCCCCCTAAAATACAGGCTTGGGCTGGAAAATAAACATTGTATTCAACCATTTACTGAAGAACAAAGCAGAGGCAATAAAAAATAGATCATAACCAAGCAAATAACTGGTGTTATTCATGGACAATTAAGATTTCCCATGTAGGTAAATCCAAAAATAATGACAAGTAAAATGCTAGATTAATGAGGTCAGACTTTTGAAATCTATGGTAAATAAAAGCAAGTCAACTACAATTCTATAACTAGAAACAACCAGGAAAATGTACATTTCAAAAAGACAGCCTTTGAGCGGGGTGGTGGTGGCGCACGCCTTTAATCCCAGCACTTGGGAGGCAGAGACAGGCGGATCACTGTGAGTTCGAGACCAGCCTGGTCTACCGAGTGAGTTCCAGGACAGGCTCCAAAACAATACAGAGAAACCCTGTCTCGAAAAAAAAAAAAAAAAAGACAGCATTTGTAATAACAATAACACCTCATGTGTAGTAATAAGACATTTAAAGAGATATCACGAAACTTCATTAAAGAGTTAAGCAGACGGTTGAAGATTTATAAGGTATTTGTGTGTGTATGTGTGTGTACATAGGCATCCCTCTGTCTCTGTTCCCTGTTCAGGGAGATGAGAGAGTGTGGGATGTTTAACAGCAGTACTAGCCTGTGTCCACCAGATCCCAGAGCAACCACCCAGGGATGATGACCAAAAGCAAACATCATCAAATGACCTTTGGGGAAACAAACTCTGCATAAGAGCTATTGACCTGACCTGTGGAACGCAGAAAGGCCCCGTTTCTCCTTAAACTCACCTGTGGACACTCAATGTGAACTTTCAGATGCAGGCCCTGAGAATTTGAAGTCTGTTTGTTTTGTCTATTGTTGTGGTGATTTTAATTTTAAAGGGTTTATTTTTATTTTATGTGTATGAGTGTTGTGTATATGCACCACATGCATGCAGTGCCCAAGGAAGCCAGAAGAGGGCACTAAATTCCTTGGGAGCAGGAGTTACAAAGGCTATAAGTTACCTAGTGAGTGCCAGGAGCCAAACCCCTAGGCTTTTAAGAGAGACACAAGTGCTCTTTACAAAGGAGCCATCTCTGCAGCCAATGACTGCAATTTTGTTCATGCTAGCTGATACATGAGTTTCCCTTCAGTGGAAGGTATTTCTTGTCTAGCTGGGTATGATGGTGCTGACCTATCTGCACTCCAGAGGCTGGGACAGGATGATCGCCATGAGTTAGTTTCAGGCTATGCTGTGCTGCACAGCAAGGTCCTGTTTATGAAGGAGGGAAGGAAGGAAGGAAGGGAGGAAGGAAGGAAGGAAGGAAGGAAGGAAGGAAGGAAGGAAGGAAGGAAGGAACCCTTTCATACGGGAAGGGGATCTTCAGTGGGGCTTTCGCATATGCTTCTGGAGGCCTTGTTGACTTTCCTAGTCCTGGGGAATTTTTTTAATGATAATTTCTTGGCCTGGTTTAACAGAAAACCCAATAAAATAGTGATTATTTAGATTATAGTTCAACCTCTTACATCTGTGCTTTTTCTCTGTCAAGTGCCCAATACGACAGCCACAAGAACTGCCTGCGTTGCACCCCAGCTTCCAGGCATGGAGGTTCGCGCTTCTCAGTGGCCTGGCTCTGCACAGGAATTTGTGTTTTCCTTCCAGTATTTTCTCACGGTACCAGCTGTTCCCCCTGAGTAATTGAGATTTGGCTGCCAAACTGTCCCTCCTCAGTACAGGGTGAGACAACACAGCAGTGCTCTCGTGAACCTTCGTGGCTGGCAGAAGGCACCGTGGGCCTGATAGTGGGAGGGGTGACCCCGCAGCTACTGCTCTGCGTTGACTCTGGCCACGTTGATTCGTTTGCGATGAACCACACAAGTTAGGTGACTGCCTTTGCAGGCAGAATTAAACGGTTCCTTTTTACTTGTTTTGTTCAGTTCTTTTCCAAGTATGTCTGGAGAATTTGGATTTTTCTTGCTCTTACGTTTAATGATCTCTTGTTTTTTCCCTTATTTATTTCTTGTTGCACACATAAATATTTTAGAGGTTAACATAAGTGCTTATTATAAAATAGCACCTTCTAAGAACATTACAGCTTCTAGTGAATAGAGTTGAAAAAGAACTTGGCCTTGTCGCAGAAACTGGCAGTTAGGTAAAGTGTTGTCCTCCTGCCGGCACACTCCCGTGGGCGGCACGCCCCTGTGAATGGCAGGCTCCCGTGGGCAGCGCATTCCCGTGGGTGGCACCTCCCGTGGGCGGCACGCCCCTGTGAATGGCAGGCTCCCGTGGGCGGCACGCTCCTGTGAATGGCACGCTCCCGTGGGCGGCACGCTTCCGTGAGCGGCCCGCTCCCGTGGGTGGTATGCTACTGTCTGTGGGTGTCATGGACCCGTGGGTGGCATGCAGGTTTTTGGTATCTGAGGCTCATAGAATTAGTCGTTGAGACTTTAAAAAAAGTGTTCTGAGCACCGCTTTTTAGTAAAGGATTTTAGTAAATTCCTTTAGTTATAAATAGTACTATTTAAGTTGTTTGGATAAATGGGTGTTGAGATTGGCATAGCCACACCAATCTTAGATAAATACTTAAATATCATTATACAAAATATGTGAAACCAGTATCATCTAAGAGCTGGATTATGTTTCCATTTTTTACTTTGAGATCAGAAGGTTTTTTGTTTTGTTTGTTGCTCAGAGACAAGGTCTCATGTATAAGGGTCAGCAAGGTGGCTCAGTGGGTAGAGCTGCTTGCTGCCAAGAATGATGACCTGAATTTGATCCCTGAACCCACATAACAGGAGAGAATTGACTCCTGAAAGTTGTCCTCTGACCCCCGTTGCATGGGGAATGCCTACAAATCCCTTCCCTGCATACACAGCAAATGAATGAATGAATGAATGAATGAATAAATAAAAGTATTTTTAAGTTAAAATCCAAAGAACAGTGGCTATCCTTTATAGCCTAAATGTGAAAACTGCTTAGTTCTGATGGAAGAAATGATCAGCACACGAGCATGCCTTGAGCTGGGCTCTCACTCAAGTGTGGTCCTCCCAGGGCTTCCGTACACGTCCACTGGTGCCATTGAGAATTTTGATGGCCATTGCTGCCATGGAGCGGTATATTGAGGGTTGGGAGACCTTGAAAATTCCTGGGGCTTGAGGTCTGAGCACCTGGTCAAAGCTCAAAAGGCTCTTTGCACAGCCGTGCTGAGGGTCCTGTGGGCGTTCACACAGTGCGAGCAGGGGTGGAGCTGCAGCAGGGCCTCCAGCTGTGAGTGAGGGGTGGAACAGTGGGAGAGCTATAGGGAGGGGCGTGGGGAAGGACGGAAACCTTGCACAGGAGGCCCCTGCAGAGAGGTGCCCCTTTGCAAAACCCGGATTTGTTCAGAGCACCCCGGCGCCCGGCGCGGCGGCGGGAGGGGGGGGGAGGAGGACGGGGCGGTGGCTAAGGAGTGGGCGTGGTTAGCAACTTCTGTGACAAGTTTCTCAAGTCAGCTGCTTACTCACTGGACTTTTCCTCTTCCTGAGTTCCCTCATGGTTACTTAGTCATTAGCTGCCCCACTGTGATTTCCCCCTTACCCTGTTTTACATTCTGATTAAACCATGTGGGATTTTTTGGAGGTAATTTTGTCACTGATTTCATTTTTGAATGTCTGGGTTTTCTTCTGTGTCTTTTGGCCTTTGGCTCAGTCTTTGACTCTGTCTACTGAGGATCTCTTTCTATTGACTTTCAAGGTTACAGAGACCAAGCAGAAAGACAGGGAGAGCCTGTGCTTCCAATCTTCCGATCCTGGTAGGATAAAAAGTGTTCTCTCACCACAGAGCGCCTCTACTGCAAGAACTCTGAAAGAAATGAAGAAAGCCTTCCAAAATGAAGTTGACATCTCGTGGTACGCCGAGCCCTGCTGAGTGGATGGAAGCTGGGTGAGAGCCTGGCCGCTGACTTCTGGACCATGGCGATGTGCCCCGTGTCCGCCGAGGTCATCCACCAGGTGGAGGAGTCCCTTGACGAGGACGAGAAGGAGATGATGCTTTTCTTATGTAGAGATGTGGCCGAGAACCTGGCCCCACCTAACGTGAGGGAGCTCCTGGGCAGCTTAAGTGAGAGAGGTCAGCTCTCTGTGGCTACCCTGGCTGAACTGCTCTACAGAGTGAGGCGCTTCGACCTGCTCAAGAGGGTTTTGAAGACAGACAAAGCAGCCGTGGAGGCTCACCTTCATAGGAACCCTCACCTTGTTTCTGATTATAGGTAACTCCCGAGCTCTGAGCCAGCCTGCACGGGGGGGGGGCTGGGTGGTCTAGACTGTGAGAGGCAGTGAGAGGAACCTCGTCCCTTCTGCTTCCTTCTGCTCAGACCACCTTCGATACCACTTACGGTATTCTGTTTGTTTGTTTTGTAATTTCTGGAAGCCTGTTATAGCTCAGGTTAGCTTGGAACTTACGTTGTAGTCCGTGCTGGGCCTCCAACCCATAGCAATCCTCCTGCCTCAGGTGTGGGGGTCACACCTTGTTTGAATTCATGAAACACGGGTTGCTTATCGGGTAAAAGATCATAATGGAAGTGGAAAGGACAGATAATCTGAAGGACATTAACAAGACAGGAAGAAAGAAGAAACAGCATAGAGCCACTCTTTCTTGCCAGTCCCTGATGACATAGGAGCTGCGGTGCTTTGGAAAATTCTGGTACCGAGAAAGGAAGTAGCAAGAGTGAGTAATCTTCCTACCTCCATAGAATTGTGGCCCTTTCTAAATTCTCCTCTGTCCTTCCCCAGCCAGCCAAGGAAGTGCCACAGGGTGGGTTCCCTTCCTGTAGTCTTGCCTTGCTGGCTCTGAGGAGCCAAAGTCTGGTGTTTCTTCAGTGAATTTCCTTTCAGCCCCCTTCTGGTTAATGCAGGAGGACCATTGAAGTCCCTTAAGTCAGAGAGCCTCTGAGCTGCTCCCCACCCCCCAGGCTGGAGCCACTGGAAGACTGAGTTTTCTGAGGCAAGAAAGAGATCTTGTTCCTTTAAATTGCTTCCTGTTCCTCTAGCTGCAAGTTTTGTCAGTTGTGTAATATGTATTTGGGGATGGTGTCTATTATGAAAACTACTGAAAAGAATTGAAAGCAGCACGGGCTTTGGAAACTGTTCAGAGCTGGGGTTGGAAGGGCTGTGCTAAACCTCAGACGTACGAGTTACAGCCCACACAGGCTGAGCACCTTACTAACTACAAAGTAAAGAATAATATAGCCCAGCTGGCTGCACCTGGCGACGGAGACCTGCAGTCCCAACTCCTCAGAAGACTGAGGCAGAAAGTTGTGAGTCCAAGGCCGGCCTGAATAACTTAATAAAACTATGTCAGGAAAGATAGAAGGGGACATGTGTAGACCCAGAGCTCAGCAAAAGGCACTCGCTTAGGGTGAGTAAGGTTCTAGGTTCAGTTCCAGCACCACAAACAATGACTGAGCGTCACAAGTTTACGAGTCTCTTTGGATACTGTGCCAAGTAGCTTTCTATGTGAGATGCTTGGGTTATTGTTGTTCTTGATAGATTTTCACTTGTTCAACCATCACCTGATGTCAGTGATCTCACATATTTGGGGGACACTGACCAGGTCTTGGGGTCTAGGTTCTGGTGCAGTAAGTAGGAATGGGTGTAGGGACCTCTAGAAGAGAGACTGGCGGTTGAGGTGATTTGGTTGACCCATTCACCCATCTGCTCAGCAGGCTTCATCAGTGCCTAGTTAAACTCAGGGCAGAAAAGAACCCCCAAGAGTGTGGGAGTCTACCTGGGAAAACCTTCTACACAGGAGTCCTGACAGTGTGGTGGCTGCTCCAGTCAGAGCAGAGGCGAGTGCATCAGGAGGCGCTTTCCAGACTTAACACTTGTGGCCAGAAGCCGCTTGGCGAATGTCTTTTACTTCTCAAATTCAAACATGGGCCAAGAAGTCAGAGATGTTTCTTTGCTTTAGAATCCTGCGATTGAAAGTACAGTTCTTGACCAGTGTCACCCGGAGCTTGTCAGAGAGGACAAGGCCACTCTGAATTCTGTCTTTCCTGTTACTCATTTGTTACATTTCACTATTACTTCTGGGGACCTAGGGTTTTTTTCAGGGAAGTCTACTTGCCCAGTTGTTTTTAGAGCTGTTAGGTAGAAAGGGAAGTACTGCCTGTCCCTCTGCAGACAATGGAAAAGCCAGGTGTGGTGGTGCATGCATGTAATTCCAGCACATGGGAGGCAAAGACAGGAGATGGGAGGGAGTGGTCTGAGGCCAATCTGTCTACACAGTGAGTGCTAAGATAGTCAGGGGTGCACAGCAAGAGGTCTCAAAAAACCAAGCCAAACAAACAAATGGAGGAGGATGACTTCCTTTTAAAGTTTATAGTCTCTTGGAGGAATATCAAGGCTTCCTGTTTTATAGAGTGGGGGCACATTCCATGGGACAAGAATTAGTCTAGTTGTTGGCCTTGGTGAGGCATGGGCTCTTGGATTCTTGTCTGGGTTTACTAAAGAAACTTTTGGGATTTACAGGGTGCTGATGATGGAGATTGGTGAGAATTTGGATAAATCCGATGTTTCCTCGTTAATTTTCCTTACAAGAGATTACACAGGCCGAGGCAAGGTAACCAAGGACAAGGTGAGTTGTCTTTTCTTGATGCCTGTTCCAAAGAGCTGTTAGAAGTAGGGCCTGCTCCTTGTGGAGAGAGGGAAATGGGCAGCTTGCTGCTGTGGTCCAGGGAGCTAGGCATCCCGGATGGTTTCTCTGTAACATTGGAAGCAAGAGAATGAGTTTTTAATTTAGGAGAAAATAGGTTGGTACCTGTGGCCTTGGGTGTTTCTTTTATACTTAGATTTGGTCCTGACTTCTATAAAAGTCACAGACCTGGCTGGGCAGTGGTGGCACATGCTTTTAATCCCAGCAGTCAGGAGGCAGAGGCAGGCGAATCTCTGTGATCTTGAGGCCAGTAGTCTGACCTATAGAGTGAGTTCAGGACAGCCAGGGCTACACAGAGAAACCCTGTCTCTAAAAAAAAATCACAGGCCTGGTGTCTATGCCATTTCTCAGATTTGACAGCTCTCTTCTGGGAGAAGGTATCCTGTCTGCTTGCATGGAGCGGAGACCTGAAGGCTTCTGGCTCACTCTCATTTGCTGACCCACTGCTGTTTTATTTCCCTCAGTGGCCTGTGAGGTGGTGAAGTGGTGGTCCTTCTGACTCATCTATCCGGGAAATGGCTAATGCGGAGATTAGGGTAGAAATGTGGTGACCATATTAGAGTTATTGGGGTTGCTGGAAGAGTGTTTGAACTGGTATGGTTAGCCTAAGAACGGGCCAAGAAAAATCTTTGTCTTTGGGGTTGACAGTAAGTCTTCCACATGGTTACCCTGCCTCTAAGAGTTTCCTCAGGCTCCTTGATTTTAGGAATATAGGAGAACAGCATGTTCCCACATCAAATGTAAGATGAGGAAGAAAGGGAAAACAGGAGTTTTTTTATTTTTATTTTTTTGTGGGGGGATTCCCTAACCAACTTTTTCCATTTATATGTAATTATGCTTATTGTCTTTGTGATCTAATGATTAACAGTCAAGTAACCAAGTGTTAACCATGAGCAAAATAAAATCCACAGCAATGCTTACTTTTGAAGTCTAGTTCTTTAACGGTCCTGGTGTTTCAGGCTGAACAAGTAGGAGAGCCCCATCCTCTTTGGTAACCATCTCTTGAGACAAAATAATTTGGAATGTCCAGCATCAATGAAAACACTTTAAGAACTTACAAATGGCATTGTGAAGATTTCCCATATCAAATTTTCCTCAGTCACCCCCCCCACCCCATTCTGAGAAGCCCTTCTGGTATGTGGTGTTGGGGATCAAGCTCAGGGAATAGTCATGCATGCTAGACAAGGACTCTACTCCCTAAGCTGCAGCCCTAGCCCCCCATCTCCTTGAGTGAAATTCAGGAGGATGACTTGTTTCTGGGTAGAACTGTCTGGCTTGGAATCTCCAAGGGTTACCGGAAGGTCTCTTCCTGCCACCTTTTTCTGCAGATGGCCTAGAGTTTGCACTGGGGACTTGTTAGCTTCACTCACATGTGTTTCTTGTTGGTGGCTCTCTTAGAGTTTCTTGGATCTGGTGATTGAACTGGAGAAACTGAATCTGATTGCTTCAGATCAATTGAATTTATTGGAAAAATGCCTGAAGAATATCCACAGAATAGACTTGAAGACAAAAATTCAGAAGTACACGCAGTCTGGTAAGAAATTTGGCTTCTCGGTGGTCTTTAGTGCACAGTAGGAGTGGTTGGTGGAGTCATTTGTTGATACATGGTTGAAATAGAATCCAAGCATCCCAGCCTATGTCAAGAGATTGTATTCCTCTATAGCCGTCATATTCCACTATCCCAACCCCACTGGCAAATCTCCTTCCTCTGAAAATTGCCACCAAGCAGGTCTTAGTCTATCTCTGTTTTTAAAGGGTAGAGACTGTGAACATTCACGACTTGGATTGTAGGTTGAACCCTGTTACCCTACTCCATGTTGGACCTGATGACCACTGTCCAACTATGGGCGGTGTCTCTGGGTCTGATTGCTGTCCTACATGTGTGCTGTGTCTCACTTAACCTCATGGAAAAGGTCACTTTTGTTTTTTTTCTTTAATAAAGGGGGTTGGCCTTGTCCCTTACACCACCAGAAATAGAAATGGCCCTTAATTTTCTTTTGAATTTACAAGCATGCTCATAGTTATTTATTTGTGTGTGTGTGTGTGTGTGTGTGTGCACCCCCATATGCATACGTGCATGCACGACCACATGCCATGTGGGGGTGAGTCATTTCTTTCCTTCCACCATGTGGGAGGAAATTAAGTTGTGAGACTTGGTGGCGAGTGCTTTTACCCACTGAGTCAGCTCAGCAGCCCTGTTAGTCATTGCTGCTGATGGGCAGAAGTCATCTGAGCTGATGTTTTGAACTCAGATGGTTCAGGTCTAAGGTGTTTTGAAAGATGATGATGGAATGGGACTGAAGCATTGTTGAAGACTCACTTGACAATTTATGGACCTTAGCCCCTCCTCTCTGTCTTTACAGGCCAAGGAGCAGGATTAAAGTATATGAACTCTCTCCAGGCTTCTCTTCCAAACTTGAGTGTCAAGGAGCCTTCGTATAATTCAAGGGTGAGTCTGAAGCCAGTGTGCGGAGTGCCAGCATGAGCCGGTTTCAGAGATGTAATAGAAGTGTCCATCTCATTTCACCTGTTGTAATAGCTGAACAAGTTATTTAGACATGCATTTGATTAAAAATAAGTGCAACTTCTTATGGTTTTAAACCTTAAAAGTGCTCAGCTGGTGGGCAGTGGTGGTGCACGCCTTTATTCCCAACATTTGGGAGGCAGAGACAGGGATATCTCTCTCTGTGAGTTCGAGAACAGCCAGAGCTACACAGAGAAACCCTGTCTCAACACCCTCCCCCTGCAAAGAAGAAAGTGTTTAATAATATATTTGGAGACTTTCAGAAATATATAACAAGAAAATCATGTGTCATGTGTCTGTTACCTAGGTATGACTACTATTATTATTTGGGGATGCTTTCTTTTAGTCTCTTTCTTATATGCATTAGTAAATGTGTCTATATAATTGAATATTTTCTTCATTGTTTGTTTCTTTGAAGATTCACTTTTAAAATAAAAGTAGATAGGATGTACCTATAGAAAGAAAAACTTAAATGTCCCCAAAGAGATTTTAAAATTGTGTTTTCTTCCTACCCCATAATACTCATGTCTCAGTTCCTTTCTGTTAAGGCAACTGTTCTTGGCCAGTTTCTTGACCATGCAGAGATAGTCTACATACATATAGTGTACAAAGAGTAGAATACCACGCCACTCTTCTTAATAGAGAATTCTTAGACATTGTTACATAAGGTTCATATGAGAGCTCACCCTGTAACCCAGTCTAGCCTGGAATCCAATATGTAGCCCAGGCTGGCCTTGAACTTGCAATGACCCTCCTCTTGCTTCAGCCTCCTAAATGCCGACATTATAGACGTGTCCTGCCAGGAGGGCTCATAGCTTCCATTTTCTACATACACCAAAATGTATTTAGTTCTTTTTGCTGATGTATAGATTGCCTCTGTTCTCTTGTTAACTAGAAACAATGCTGCAAATAAATATTGTGATTCTTACTTCTTTGTGCATTTTCTTTTTTTAAAAAATAATGTAAACGTATTTTACATTTTATTTTTTGTTTATGTGTATGCATGTATGCCTGTATGAGTTTTTGTACACCATTTGTGTTCAGGAGCCTATCAAGGTCAGAATTAGGCATCAGATCTCCTAGAATTGGCGTTACAGGCAGTTGTGAGCCACCATGTGGGTGCTGGGAATTGAACCCAAGACCTCTAAAATAGCAGTCAGCACACTTAACCTCTGAGCCATTTCTCCAGTCTTCCTTTTGCCCTTTTACTGAGTATGTCTTGAAAATAATTGAAAAATTGGCAAACTTTTTTTTTAATTCAGTGACAGAGCAAAAGATTTCTTCTTCTAGTTTAATGGCCATAAATGTCATATGGTCGTTTATGGTTGTGCTCCAAGGAGCACAGACCATCTTGGGCTTGGTCCCTGGTTAATCTTTTATCATGAGAAGAACCTTGGTATAATATCAACCTAACCCCACTTAAAGTTATGCAGACTTGGAGGTGGACACAGACTAGAGTCCAGTTTTGTGGTTGAATTATAAACACTTCTATAAATGTGTATCATGGAAACCTTCCTCCTATTTTATAAGCAGTTTCTTGGAGAATACTAGCCATAGGAAGTACTACTGAGCAACAGACTTGCAAAATTAAATGGCTGTTAAGGATTGTATTGCCCCACCCATTGACTGAACAAAATAAGGACACGTATGTGTAAAGCACAGTGACTATGTACACGTACCTCCTGCAGGCCCCGCCAGGCCCGGCCTCTGATTATCCCACTGTCTCCTGATATAGCTATAAACTACAGTCATCTCATGATATAGCTATAAACTACAGCCATCTCCTGATATAGCTATAAACTACAGTCATCTCATTGCTTAGGTACAGTTTTTTGTTTGTTTGTTTTGTTTTTTTGAGACAGGGTTTCTCTGCATAGCTTCGTAGGCCAGGCTGGCCTCGAACTCACAGAGAGAGATCCTCCTGTCATTGCCTCCCGAGTGCTGGGATTAAAGGCATGTGCCACCACTGTTTGGCCTTAGGTACAATTTTTAATTTGTCCTTCTAATCTCTGATATGCTAAGTCACAGACAACCCAGATTCAGGATTTTCTGAGCTCTTTCTCCCACTACCTGTTTATTATGACTTACACTATCTTAGAATCCTTCTATATTTTCACTACTGTGTTTCTGTTCTGCAAATGCAGCTAAGCATTTTCACTCTCGTGTAGCCTGCTTGATCCAACGTGCTTTGTGATTAATTTCTCTTTGTATTTGCTATAGCTAGCAGGTGGCTTGATCTCTCTCATTTAGCAATCAGACACTATGATATATGAACCTGAAGCTTTCTCACAGGATTTAGGAACTGCATGGCTATGGTTTTTTTTTTGAGACATGGTTTCTCTGTGTAGCTTTGGAACCTGTCCTGGAACTCACTTTGTAGACCAGGTTGGCCTCGAACTCACAGAGATCCATCTGCCTCTGCATCCCAAGTGCCAGGATCAAAGGTGTACGCTACCACCGCCCAGCTACATAGCGACGTTTTTTCTCATATACGCCTACAAAAATGCCTCAGAAGTTACAATGGCATTACTTGACACAAGAATCTGAGGTGTTAAAAAATCAAAAAGTTACACAACCGCACTGCCACGCTTTTAAAGTCTGGCTTTGATTTGATCCTTTTCAATAGCTTGTAAAAGTGAGTGTGCATCTGGTTTGGGGGGACGGCAGTGACCAGGCTCTGATTCAATCAGGATTATTCCTGGGGGTAACCATAGCTTGCATGTCTTTCTTCAGTTTACACACAGTTGTCCCTCAGACAAAGCTCAATGGGTGATGTACTTCATTCTTTGGTTAGGATAGCTACAGAGATCAGCTGTTGTTGAAATATGAGTGGTCAGATGGTGATAGGAAGTGATGTCATCCTACACAGGTCCTGTCATCTGAAAGGAGAGAAGGCCAGTTTAGTGCTTCAGGAGTGGGTCATGCAGAATTCTAGACTGTCAAGAATCATGCCTACATATCACTTATCTTGTAGCTCAGAAATAATTTTTTAAAAAACCATAATTGGGGGCTGGAGAGATGGCTCAGTGGTTAAGAACATTGGCAGCTCTTCCAGAGGTCCTGAGTTCAATTCCCAGCAACCATAGAGTGGCTCACAGCCATCTATAATGGGATCTGATGTCCTCTTCTGGCATGTAGGCTCTCTATGTAGATAGAGCATCATATACATAAAATAAATACAGCCTTAAAAAGCCATAATCGGACCTCACTTATTCATTTAGGAGTGCTGCAGATTGTACCCAGGACTTTGGGTATAGGCATTTATCAAGTGCTTCCGTGTATGCTATACTGCACTGGGTGTTTGTGAGTATTGGGACACCATAAATACCCTTTTGGGCTAAGGCTAGTGAGATGGTTTAGCATTTAAGAGCACAGGTTCCATTCTCGGCACCTACATGGTGGCTCATATCTGTCTGTAACGCCAGTCCCAGATGATCTGATGCCCTCTTCTGATCTCCAAGAGCACTGGGTGTAAAGAGAAGCCTTCCCACCAGCCTGGTTCCAGAGCCGCATCAGTCCCAAATAAACACACAGGAGGCTATATTAAGTATGAAGCTGTTGGCCTTGCTTGTTTCTTACTGGCTAGCTCTGACTTAAGTATTTATCCCATAATTGCTAATCTAAGCATTTCTCTTACCAGAGAGGTTTCCGGGCTTCCTACCCCATGGCGTTACATCTTGACTTTCTGTGTTTCTCCTACCCAGAGTCCTCCTGGACTCATAGTCCCACCTATCTTGCTTCCCTATTAGCCAACAGGGAATTGACATATATACAGGACTTCCCCCATCAACCGGGCACATACATATAAAACAGACACATTAAAAAAAAAAACAACCTCCCTACATATATATGGCAGGTACTATTCTATTCTTAAACCACTGTTGCAGACGAAGAAGCAGATAGAGAGGTAAAATGACTGCTCAAAGCTACATAAGTATGAACTGGATTCATAGCCAGGTATATGACTAAAACTCACACTTGTAGCCATGCTGCGCTTTGCCTTCGTGTTAAAGGAGTGCACTGAATGTCAGTCGGTCTCAGCATGGTCTAAGTTGGGACTGTTCTAGCACCCACGCTGTACTCTAACAGCTGGCTTAGAGTTCTATGAAGCAGCCTAGCATGCAAGTTTCGTATAGTTCCACTTCATATTGTTTTCCCCCCCCCCTCTCTCTCCCTTCCTTCCTTCCTTCCTTCCTTCCTTCCTTCCTTCCTTCTTTCTTTCTTTCTTTTTTCTTGTGACAGGGTTTCTCTGTAGCTTTTTTAATCCTGTAGACCAGTCTGGCCTCAGACTCACAGAGATCCGCCTGCCTCTGTCTCCCGAGTGCTGAGATTAAAGGTGTGCACCACCACCGCCCAGCATGTTTTCATTTCTTACTGAGAGTTGATTTGATCTTTGATAGTATAGTGTGGAACTTATGGAGTTAACAGTCCCCGCAGTTCATTTTTAGGTAACAGGGAAGGTGATATTTTTATTTTTCTCCCCTGTGTAAAAATATTGAGCTATTTAAAGAGGTGTAACATAGTGAGCTTCTGAAAAAAACTAACAGTGTGACCTTCTTTTTTGTATTTGAAGTTCCAGAATGGGCGAAGTAAAGAACAAAGACTTGTGGAAAACCTTGGCATTCAAAGTAAGGCCATCAATCTCTTACATCTATTCTTTATAAATGCTTAGTAATTTAAGTACGAGGGACTGAGGTATAGCTCGGTGGTAAAGCACTTGACTAGTGTGAATGAGGCCCTGGGTTTGAGCTCCAGTACCAGGGAAATATTCACACTGTGTCTGGTGGTCCCTGCTCATTGACTTAGCTGCTTGAGAGATGGGAGTAGGAGGCGCTCTCGTGCCCAGGTGTTCAATACCAGCCTACTTAGCAACATAGTGAGACCCTGTCATCTAAAACGGAGAGAAAGAAAGGAAAGATAAGAGGAAAAGATCCGTTTAGAGCTGGCTATTTCTTTTTTTTTTTATTTTTCAGTTCAAATTTAGATAAGAAACAAGGTTGCTTCACAATTCAGTTCCAGGTCCCTCTCCCTTTCCCTCCCCTCCTCCCGTGCCCTCCCCCCAACCCCTCCATTATCCCCTCATTTCCCCAGGGAGGGTGAGGCCCTCCATGGGGGTGTCCATAGTCTGTCATTTCATATAGGGCAGGGCCTAGACCCTTCCCCAAGAGTTCAGGGTAAGAGTGCACCTCACATTGTTGGATGGGAGTCCAAAGTCCGTGTGTATATACTCGGGATGGGTACTGATCTGCTGCCCAAGGCTCAATAGATTACCTCCTCACTGACACCCAGATTCAGGGGGTCTTGATCAGTCCCATGCTGGATTCCCAGGCTTGATGCCTGGGATTCAAGAGTTAACCTTTGTCAGGTCAGCTGTTTCTGGGGGTTAAACCAGCCCAGTCTTAATCCCTTTGGTCATCAGTCCTCCCTCTCTGTTACTGGCTTTCTTGAGTTCATAGAGCTGGCTATTTCTTTTATCCACATATTTTAATTAAACACTCAAAGGGCAGTAAGCACATCCCCCAAATGTATTCACTGACACTCATAGTTCCTCTCTGAGTTATTGCATCTAACCCTGAATAACACCCATCTGTCAGGCACATAACCTTGGCTGTATTTGTAAGACACGGGACATTTGTACATTTGTTACCCAGACCGTGTTAAACATTAACTCAGCCATGATAGTGAGCCACATGAAACCAAATATCTAGGAAGGAGAATGGTTAACTAGACACTCAAGGGCAGACAGTCTCTTCCATAAAAAGAAAAGAAATGCAATTCAAAGATTGTCCATCCCAACCCATATGTTCTCTTCTATCTTAAGACATCTGTGCTTGAGCTCAAGGCATTATTTAAATTCTTGTTTGTTTGCTTGTTTGGGATGACTATAGACAGAACCTTGCCTTGTAGCTCTGACTGGGCTGGTATCAAGCTAAGCCCAGGCTAACTTCAAACTCATACAATGCTCCCATTTCAGTCTTCTGAGTGCTGGGATTGCAGGGATGTGCTACCACGGTTGGCTTAGAACATCATTTTTTTTAAAAGCATTTCTTTCCTGCACGGAGGCCTTTCTAAAGTGAGAGTCGAGACTAAGCTTTAGCCTGTGCTTAGAGCCAACATGAACTGGCCTCTATGCCACCATGGAAGACTGCAGTGCTCCCCAAGGGTCTTTAATCCATTGTGCGTGCAGGAAAGAAGTGGGGTGGTGCCCTGATGGAGCCTTGACTGTGTAGCTTGTGTAACCTGCAGGCTGCGTGCACTCCTGGAAGCTGAGATCTGTTTTACCGTTTTACCCCCACTAGCCAGATGGTACCACTCACACCTGCCACTCCCTAGCTAACATTCTTCTCTCCAATGAAAACTGTTGAGAACGGAATTAATTCCCGAAGTGACAGCCTGTTTCTTAAAACACTGGTGGGGTGGAAGAGTTAGCACTCTCAATGCTGTTTAAAGTGAAAAGTGGGAGACCCGGTATGCTTGCTTAGGAATGTAAAACAAACATGTTCTTTCCACTGTGATCCTATCATAGATTGGTCCAGGTAAGTAGGTGAGCTCCCAACACGTGGCAACACTGTTAGAGAGCCATCTTTGAGCCTTGGCCTGGCCTTGACTCACTAGTAAAAGGAAAAGCACTCAGGTTGGCCTTAAACTAAGAAATTTAAGATAATCAAGACATGTGTTCACATCAGTTTGGACTTCCAGATGGTTCCTACTGAAAGATCTTGATGGTGTTGGTGAATACCACTTAGCTCTTTCTAAAATTTCAGCCAAGATAGGCGTGTCACTGATAGATGTGTCACTGAGATAGAAAGGTGTGCCATACACATTGTTTGTTTTGTTTTTTGTTTTTTGAGACAGGATTTCTCTGTAGCTTTGGAACCTGTCTCAGAACTTGCCCTGTAGACAAGGCTGGCCTCAAAATCACAGAGATCTGCCTAGCTCTGCCTCCTAAGTGCTGAGATTAAAGGCGTGCACCACTACTGCCCAGCATCACACACATATCTTCTAAGGAAGAATTGTTTGAGTACATGCCAAGGGGACAGCAGGCTGGGTAGTAACCACAGTACTGTCTGTAACCTCACTAATGGGATTTCTTTTCTGTTAAACAATGATATAACAGAAGAAAACCATACAAAATGCCCTCCTAATTTCAGTAGCAGGGAAATCTGCGGTTAATGTTTGGTTTATTTTACTCTATCATCAATTCTTACTAGAAAGGGTCTCATGACTTAGCTAAGGCAGGTGTCAAACTAACAGCTATTGTCTCTAATGTGCTGAGATTGCAAGTGTGGACTACTGCACCCAGCTGATGTTTAATACACATGCACACACCCAGAGACATATTCACAAATGCACACACACACACTCACACACACGCAGACATATTCACAAATGCACACTCACACTCACACACACGCAGACATATTCACAAATGCACATACACACACTCACACACACGCAGACATATTCACAAATGCACACACACACTCACACACACGCAGACATATTCACAAATGCACACACACACACTCACACACACGCAGACATATTCACAAATGCACACACACACACGCAGACATATTCACAAATGCACACACACACACTCACACACACGCAGACATATTCACAAATGCACACACACTCACACACACGCAGACATATTCACAAATGCACACACACACACTCACACACACGCAGACATATTCACAAATGCACACACACACTCACACACACGCAGACATATTCACAAATGCACACACACACACTCACACACACGCAGACATATTCACAAATGCATACAGACTGGTTTGAAGCCGAGTGTGGCAGCACAGGACTGTGATACCAGATACTGAAGCAGGAGGAGCACAAGTTTGGACTTAGCCTGGGCTGCATATCAAGAGCCTACCTCTGAAACAAAACAAACTCAAAACAATACAATGATAGAAAACAAACAACAAACAAGAACCCAATTGATTTCCCTCAAGTCTTACAGATTCTGGTAATATAGTTTTTCGTCTTATCTTTAGACATCATTTCTCACTTTGCCACAGTCTTGGCCTAGCGATTGAGGAGACAGGGTGACAACTGCTCAGCATGAAGGTGTGAGCCAGCCCTTTCGTGCGTGGCTTCCGAACCCAGTGCGTTCCCACTTGTGCAGGCTAATTGAGTCGTTGTTGTGGAGAAGAGTTTGCTGTGGGCTCACCCCTTTCCAGGCTTGCTGTGCAGTGTCTTGCTGCTGACATTTGAGTTTATCATCTCCCAGCATCACTGAACTATGAAAACATTGGCCATCTGTTCTGTACATGGCACACATACATAAGCTTCCCTTTCCTTCACGCTCCAAGCTGTTCCCTTTAGATGGTATCCATAGTTTTGGCCTGTGGAGGAAAGCTGTCAGTGTAGTGGAGTGAGATTTTTTTTGAATTCTCCTTGTCAGATTAAAAACTCTTCAGCCACCTGGTCATCACCTGGAGGAGGGTGAGGGAGAGCCTTCTTACACTTGAACATCATGGTTTTTCTACATCGTCCTGGAATAACACGGGCTCTTGAGTTTTCTTTTGAGTCAGGCTCTTCCACGTGAGGTTGGAACTTTGGGCTGAGTCTAGCTGGAGAAAGCATTGGTAGTTAAGGGATGAGCAAAGAAAACAGCCATGATAGAAAGAACTCAGTCAGCATGGCTGTGGCTAAACTCTGTTCTGTAACGATTCTCTCTCTTAACCCCCAGAAAAACCAGTGAAGACATCCATCCAGGAATCGGGAGCTTTTCTGACTCCGGTAAAGAATAAATTCTATGATTTGGCATTGTATGCGCAAGTATCTGCTTGAACACTGACACCTTAAAAAACAAACAAACAAAGCAGCCAAAACCGTTCTGAAAAATTCTTTGTGACAACTGGATGCCTGTGCATAATATCCCTGAGAACTCATTGGCCAGAAATGTTGAATATAGCAGAGAAAACAAATGTTCAGGGGGATGGCATGAATGAACTTTGGAATGCAGGGAAATTCCAAGTGGCAGCCCACGTCTTGGCCGGGTAACTAGTGATCACACAAGTGGGCAGTGATACTGCGCTGATCTGTGTTTGTGCCCTGGCTTTTGTCTGGGTTGACAACATCCTCTTCAGAGGAGGCAGTGGGAGTCCATTGTTTGTATTGGCTTAGAAAGATGTCTCTTGTTGCTCCTTTAGGCTTCTGTGAAGGCACATGACCCATCTTTCTTCTTTCAAATTATCTTTATTCTGCAAAATTAAGACACTGTAAAGAGATGAGACAATTCTCATTAAAATTAAGTGAGAACTGAAACAGCGCATTATCAGAACAGAGGAAAAATTTGACATTAATGGAAAATGTCAGCTGCGATGACTTTAGGTCATGTCTATTGAGTGACTCACCTGCCAAAGGGATGTTTAAGACAGTCCAAAAAAGAAATAGCACAGGGGCAAGATCTTAAGGGAACAGAGAGGTACCCAGCATCTCTAATTATGCCTGCCTTTACTTTCTAGCACATATACGAAGAGAGTTACAGGATGCAGAGCAAGCCCCTAGGGATCTGCTTGATCATTGATTGCATTGGCAATGACACAGGTAGGTGTAGAAGCCACAGATTAACCGATTCCCTACAGCAAGCTGGATTATTTGTCAGCATGGCAAATACTAACTGCAGTGTAACAAAGTGCACTCTATTTCGATGTTTGCTTTGTACTCCATCATCTTTTGGGACCCTGGAGTCTTCTCTGGGGTCCTCAATGTGACTGATGGATGAAGGAATAGAGACCGCGTAGAGAATCTCATTACAGATCTCAGGGACCGGGCCTGAGAGTGATGTGCTCAAGCTAACGACAATGGAAACAGATAAATTAGTCTAGCTACGTGTTAGGAGGAACAGAGGGACATGAAAGCCTTCCTTGGGGCTGTTGAAAACAGGTTAACTCTGTTTACTTAGAGGGATGTGAACAGTGCTTGAGCAACGTGTCACTTTGAGCCTACCTGGGAGCCGGCATCATTTGGATCCGAATTGTTTTACTCAGTTGTTGAATGCCTGATGCAAACTGAGTCACTGGTGATGCATCAGGAGAGAACTAGAAGAGCTTGGATGCTGGAAATAACATCCCATTTAATCATCTCTCCCCTCCTTTAGAGGAGTGAGCACTGCAGTTCACGGCTTTTGTGCTTGTCAACATTCCTTAGCTTGAGTCAGAGATGACTTGCTCAAAATATTACAATGGGGAGCTTTATGCAAAGAGACTCTAAGAGAAGGTCAAGTTAGCAAAGATCAAACTGTATTTCCCAGGATTTCACCTATGATTCCACTTTCCCACGTCCTATTTTTGGTAGGGGTGAGGACTGTATCTCTTTAGCTGTAGAGACGTGCGTCCTTTCCCTTTATATTGGTTTGAATGAAAATGGCCCCCATAGGCTCATGTATTTGAATGTTTAGACCCCTGCTGATAAGCTGTTTGAGAAGAATCAGGAGGTGTGGCCTTGCTGGAGGAGGTGTGACACTGGGGTGGGTTTTGAGGTTTCAAAAGCCCACACCGGCCCAGTGTCTCTGCCTACTGCCTGTGGCTCTGTAGCTCTCAGCTACTGCTCTGGTGCCGAGCCTGTCTGTTTCCTGCCGTGGCGATCATGGGCTAACCCTCTGGAACGTTAAGCAAGCCTCCGTGAAATGTGTCCTTTTTAAGAGTTGCCTTTGTCACAGTGCTTTGTCACAGCAGGAGGAGCCCGACCTCTAAGACACCACAAAACAATGAGGAAATAGATTCTCAATGAGACACTTACTGTTCTAAAGGACATTGTGGACTTGTCCTTTGATTCTTGATTGTACTCGGTCTTGTTTCATTCGTCATCAGGAAATATCTGAAATACACAGCTTCCTGTGCTGTACCTCTGTTTACATTAAGGGACTCACAAAGATCAAGACCCAACCTGCTGTATCCAAAGCACTTAGTTATTCATGGCTAACACCCAGCGCCTGTGCTGAATTCTCCTGCTGAGTTGTGGATGGGGGCTAAATGCATTCCTACCTGTATTTTTCCAGTTATAGGAGCACGTCAGAGTTGGGCCCTGGCAAACGATTGTCCAGATTTTAATCATGGCCCTGCCGTATCTTAGTTTGTGCCCTTGGGCTCAGTGTCTGAGTGAGATTATACTCATAAAGGGCATAGGACAGTGCCTGGAACAAAGTGCCGCCTAGCATTTCTCTCTCTCTCTCTCTCTCTCTCTCTCTCTCTCTCTCTCTCTCTCTCTCTCTCTCTCTCTCTCTCTCTCTCTCTCTCCCTCTCTCTCTTTGTTTGCTTACCTTAGTGGAAAACTACTAAGCCATAACACGCCATGGCTCTGAGCACACTGAGTCGGCTCTAAGACCAGGAAGGGAATGGAGGGTCTGAGGATTGCACTGGGTCAGGGTGAGTGGGGCCTGTCCCCACATTCGGTGGCACAGTGGAATGGAGGCAGTTGCTTTAGAGGGAACGAATTTCAAGTGGCACTCTCAAAAAAGTAAGGTGGAGGCGCCCAATGTTGACCTCTGACCTCAACACATGTGCACATCTGTTCATGCCTGCACACACAGAATGGAGCTCGAGGCAGCAAATCCCCAGTGTCATCCTTGCAAGGTCAATATTTTGAAGTTGGAGTGTGGGACTGGAGTGAGCCTGGCCCCTACAGTGACTAGCCGCTCATCGCTCCCCCCATGCCCCCTCCGGCGAGAATCAGGGTTCTCTTGACTCATTTACTCTTTGCCTCTGAGGGTAAAACTGGAGTGGAGGTCACTTATGAAACCTCCCAGCTCAGCTGGCTAATCAGCAGGTAAGAAACGAGACTTTATAACTTTGCTCAAATTGTGTTGTGCTTTTGTCAGGTCCCAGATCCCTTTGTGAGGCTCAGTAGGAAGCCATTAACCATCGGAAACAGGAGGACAGAAAGGGCAGTCCCTTCAGCCAGGCCTGGCTCTGCGTTCACACTCTCCTCTGGGGACTTTTCACTGAGGACTCTGCATCCTGCTTTGGAGCAAAGACTCGGACTCGTCTTTCGTAGCTCCTAACCCATCTTACTAGCGTCTAGAGTTACTGTGGGGGATTTCCTCTGCCTAGTAAATTTTGCCAACTGGTTAACGTTTAACATTTGGCGGATGTGCAGGGGTTAGATAATAAGCAAGCAGACAAGATAATTGCCAACTGAAATTAAGTCTCTGAAAGCAACCAGCAGTAATAGACTGACGATCAAGTGTGCGTCATTTAATAGAACCTACTGTGTGGTGGGGGCTTTGCTAATCGCTTTGCATGGCTAGTTGTATACCATAGAACTGGGTTATCTCCAAAGTCCATGCTTCTAGCCTCTGGTGGAAGTTCTACAAGGGGAGATGAAAGAGCTTATCTGTGTGTTTTACTCTGTGTCACCAGCAGCTGAACAAATGCCACGCACACATGTACACAGTGAATATTTACTGAAGGGGCGCCAGTGATGGAGTAGGCTTTCCTAGTAACGTGTTTCGAAACCAGTCCTTTAATGTTTAGAGTTTAATGGAGTCTCTTTGATTTATTTCCCTCTTTTAGCCTTCACCCCCCCAAAAAAGCCAACAGACTTTAACTAAAGACTATATAAATCCCCTAAATATTTATAGGCATATTATTTTCTTTGGCCCCGTGTGGAGCACATTTCTCAGGGCCAGTGAGAAAAGACAAGGCTACTTTTTGGTAAATTATTTTTGAAGAGTCCTTATACAATGACCTCCTCCTGAGGTGGATAGCAGTTCTGGCCTCATTATGTCAGTTTGGTAGGACTCAAGCACATGTCTGTGGTGTCCAGGCAACTGTGTCAGGAACCTAGCAAAGGCTGGGTCTGGGTTGGTGAGCTGTGCTAGTCTTGATCTTCCTAGGCATGTAGAAGCAAATGTGTCCAGTCACTGGCAGGTAGACACAGGCCTGGTTTAGGGCTCTGGCTGTCTTGCGGGTTCCCTGTAAATGACAGCATCTGCAGATTTTTTAAGAGGAAATATTTTTCCATTTGCTGCTTCTGATATTTTTGTCATGCTTTAACTGACTAAGATGCATTTTCTAGCAGACACTGCAGTTTCTACTGTGGTGTTATGTGAAGAAATTTCCTCTTCTGGCAGTGACAGGCTAGGGGCTGCTCCGTGCCTCCTTTTGTGGTTTTTCTTTTAATGGAACTGGCAGGACCTTGGATGAACATCATTTTCTTGCAGTAACATTTGTGTAATAGGGGCATTTCTGCTAGGGGAAGTGGAGTACTTACTATGACCTCTGCTTGTGGGGACAAGGGGCAAGTGGCATTCAAAATGTTAGAAGGACACTTTGTTCAGAGGAGCGGTAAACAAGCCCTTCCAGCTCTTCCTGGTCTCAGAATCAGTACATTGCAGGTGATTTCTTCCTGGGGACAGGGGTGTGTGATGAGGTACTTTTTATTTTCTGGGCATTTCTATCCTCTAGGCCCAAGTAAATATTTGCTTAAAAGCCTAACAATACTAATGGAGGTTCTTTCCCTTTGAGTCTGTCATTTCACCAGGCCTATCTAAGTCCATGATGTTGTTAAGAAGTGTAAGACTACAGGCCCTTGCTGGAGGCCCTCATATTTTAGACTTTAAAAAGATAATGTGGTGGCAGCACAGTCTTTAAATCCAGCACTAAGGGAGGCAGAGGCAGGCAGATCTCTGTGAGTTCTAGGTTAGCCTGGTCTACAGACAGTACAGCCAAGGCTACTCAGAGAAACCAGGTCTCCAAATACCAAAAGAAGAAAAGAAAAGGTAATATGGTACAAGTGCTGGGGGTTAGGGCAGCCCCTTTGATAAGTATGTTAACATTTCACTTGCTATTCACATGATATGGGATAGGCCTCTTTGGCTCATGAAAGGTTTTACCAGAAAATGAGCTGGCAGAGAGGAATGTAAGGCCTTTGAGTGTTGGAAGCGCTGGAATTATGGATGAGTTACCGGTGTGCACCACAGAGTACTCTCAGCTGTCTTGGGTACCACAGACACCAGTTTTGGCGTGTGCAGCACTGATATTATTGTCCCCTGATACCAGGTAGCCTGGAAAGAATTACCAGTAGCCACCTTTGCTTACTAAAGAGTCTTAGAAGGTACTTTATAGCCTTGAGTGAGTGTGTGCCTGGAGCAGTGTAGCCTTTGCTGGCCTAGTTGAACAACTGCAAAGTCGGGTATATGTCAGCAAGCCCTGTCCCCAGCCCCTTGTTGCCCCTAAGTGTGCCTTTGTTCACCCACATCTCCACCTTGTCAGGAGCATGGGTAGAGAGACTTTCCTGTTCCTTGCCCTGGGTTTGCAGGCTCTGGCTTGAATTACACCTTTCCCCAGAATGCCTGCTCCAGTGCCTGAGACCACACTGCCCTTTGTTTCAATTTACCCTAAGACCCCACTGAACCATGAGACATTTCAGACATCCACATGTACACACTTGTTATCTTACTTCTCCAGCAAGGTTGTACAATCCTTGAAAGACAGTGACTGAGTTATGTGCTTGATCAGTGTCCCTTGTCATAGCTTCAGGTAATGAGGGGCACTTAGTAAAACAGAAGTTTGGGGAGGCAGTGATGGTTCCCTTCCCAGGTGCAG